TGAATTGGGCACCATTTTGCATAAGGAGGAAAGGGCAAGGGAAAGGACTGACCATACACAAAGCTGGGAGCGAACTCATTTCTGACTCAGTGAATGGCAGTGACTTGACATTATACAGGTTCCGCCCAAGACAGGTCTGGGTAGCCCTCAGACCTGATGGCCAGCAGATCAAGAACTCTAGTAGTGGTATGCACTGCGCCATTTTGTACACTGTGGCAATAGATTGAGGACTGCAGGGGATAACAGTGATTTGCACATGTGCTGAGCTCGGGAGAACTAATTTCAGCGAATTGCACTGGTCCCACAGGAAAATAATACCAACTGTGGCACCATACAGATCAAAATAGGTCCATGGGCACCCAGACCTAATGTCCAACAGGTTCCTACTAGATCAGCGCCACCAACAACCTAACTATATAGGACACCTGGTGTCTCTCTAATCCTGGGACCTGCTCCAACCGGAAGTGGGAGAAAGGTTGCAGAGACAACGGTGCATGGTATCACAGGAGGAGGAGAGTGGTAAGCCAGGAGCTGGGCTGTGGAGACCACGGTGGAAATCTGACGTAAGAACCCAGACCTGGAACTCGCTGGAGGTTGTGGCACAAGTGGCTGCAAGCAAAAAGTTGTGTACCAACTGCAATAAGTAAAATCACATTGTAGACATGTGGGTGACACAGCTTAGAAACCTGCCCCAAGGAGAAGACTCTCCTAACAGAAGTGTAATGACCAAGAACAAAAAAAGAGACAAAGGCACAATGAATATTACTGAAAACTCCCCTGCAAAGGAGCAAAACCCTATGCCAACCTCAGAATTAACTAAAAAAGACATAAAAAAATGGGGGACACAGAATTCATAAAACTCATTTTAAAGCTTCTGATCAAAAACGAGAAATACATACAGGATTTCAACAAATTTAAGGAAGCAATAAGGCAAATCAAGGCTGATATATCAGAAATTAAGAACACAGTAGAGCAAATTAAAAGTACAGTGGAGAGTCTCCAAAATAGAATGGAGCAAGCAGAAGAAAGAATCTCAGAATTGGAAGATATTTCCTGTCATCAGGGGGAAGAAAACAAAAAGCTGGAAGCAGAGCTGGATCAGGCCAAAAAAAGTATTCAAGAATTAAAAGACACTATTAAGAGGTCTAATAAGAGTTATGGGAATCCCAGAAGGTACAGAAAGAGAAGCTGAGTTTGCAAATCTATTTAATGAAATAATAAAGGAAAATTTCCCTAATCTAGAGAAAGAATTAGGAAACAACATCCAGGAGGGGCACAGAACTCCCAACAGGCTTGATCAAATGTAACTTTCACCAAGACATATGGTCATCAAGCACTCTTTAATTGAACATAAAGAAAAGATGCTGAAACAGGCATGTGAAAAAGATCAATTGACATATAAAGGAATGCCAATTAAACTCACAGGTGACCTCTCACAGGAACTCTACAGACAAGAAGAGAATGGAGTGACATATTCCAGATTCTAAAAGAAAAACATTGTCAGCCTAGGATAACACATGCAGCACAGCTTTCTTTTGTCTTTGAAAATGAAATAAAATTCTTGCACAGTAAAGAAAAGCTAAAAGAATTTGTCTCTTCCAAACCTGCCCTACAAATGATACTTCAAGATGTTCTGTTGACAGAGAAGAGGAAGAGAACCAAACAAAGCCAAAGGCAAATGGGAAGAATATCCCACAAAAATGACAACAGAAGACTAAACCAATGAACAGCCCATTCCTAAAATTACAGGACCAAAGTACCATCCAAACATGTTAAACTCTGAATGTAAATGGCTTAAGCTCATTCAAATGTCATGGATTAGTAGACTGGATTGAAAAACAAGACACATCTATTTGTTGCCTAGAAGAGACACATTTCACCAACAAAAATCAGGTTTCACCAAAAAAAATCAAGGGTTTTGTTGTTTTCTGTTGGTTTCATCTCTTCAAAATACTTTCTTCTGATTAAATCATTCAATTACTCGTAGATCATACAGTAGCATCATTTTATTCAAGAAGGTTCTTGATTTTCATTTTTTTCAGCTACACATTAGGCATTTTGTAGCATGTTATTTAACTTCATGCTGTTGTTAATTTCTTTTTTCTCCCTGATGTTGATTTTGTTTTGTGGCTTTTCATTTGAGGGGATATATAGTAGCTGTGTAATGGAGACCGTCATATCTAGTAACATGTCATTTAACTTCATGGCATTGTAAATTGCTTTTTCTTTTGTTGTTGATTTTGTACTATGAGTTTTAATCTAAGAGGATGTACAGTAGCTGTGAAATGGAGACTAACATCCAGATGTGAGGATGCAGTGTGGTACGCATTTCTGTTTCCAGACAAAGATGGACTTGCAATGAAACTGTGTGATATGTCTTGACAATAGGATGCTGGACTCTCTGCCATTGTCCATGCCCGCAATGATGGACATATGACTGTGTATGAACAACTATAATTTGGTAATGATATAGAGGAACTACGTGGCGGGGGGTGGGAGGAGTTGGGGAGGGGATAAAGGAAATGCCAGGAGCCTATGGAACTGTATCATAAAATGTTAATAATAATAAAATGGTGAAAAAAAAGTTACAGCCCACTAACAGAAGTTAAGTACACATTTGTAAAAAGCAGGATCAAGTTCTTTCTGATTTTTTTTTCCCTAAGATTATCTGCCTAGCCATTTCTCCTCCACATCTTCACCTCAGTTTTTAAAGCTTTCTGTCCTGTAAACATTTCCGGTCATATTCATCTCATCACCTCCCTCAACTAAAAAATAAAACAAATTTTGAAAATATGCCTACTTTTTACATAACCAAGTGAGGTCAAACAAAACTGAGGTCAAAAATCACTTTTAGACCTCTCTCTATTTCAACTACCAAGCTAAAAGCTCTCATTTCATTATCTCCTACAGAAAAACTAAGAACTCCAGGACCCTGCTACATTTTGCCGAATAAATAGAAACTGGTCCTAGAAAGTTGCACCTTTTCGTTAAAAATATCAACATTTCAAATTATTTTTCTTTTCTTTTATCTGCATTTTGGTCAATTAAGTAGTTTTCTAAAACCTACCTCCTCATCAATATTTTATTATGAACAGCAACATTGAGCTCCCAGCACACAGCATGTAACAGGTCAACACCAACTTGACATTTCTGCCATCTATTATCTGCTAAGTGATCTTCAGTAATGGACTGAAAGCGAAATACACAAGATTTCTTGTCATGTAATCAAGAGGCCATGCAGTGTTTCTTAGAAAAGCAACGTATGTGAACATTGCCCACTATCTTCATATCCGCTTGGAAAATAAGTGAACTAGAGACATTTGATTCTCATGATCATACAATATCGAGATTAATTTGGGTATTGGCATTTTGAATTATGATGTGAAAATTATAAAATGAAAAGGGTATTTAATTTTTAAAAATAATATTGGTTTTTAAAATGTCAGCCTTTCCCTAAGATTTACAATTAAAATCAAGATGATGAGAAATATTTCGCTGTTTTGGAAATCTTATATTGTGAGAAAAAGCTATAAATTAGTTGATCATTGTGGATCTCTCCATTAAACAAAGCCTAATGAGACTGTTGAATATCCGTTAAAGCTAATGCAATTTAAACCCAGACTTAAATGAATGACATTGTATTATTACTATTGCTTTTCAATTTTTACAAAAAAAAATCAGGAAGATAAAACAGAAGCTACTGTTTGTGATGATCTGATTGATAAATAGTGGGTATTAAATGCATATGCATAGAAATTCTCGTGTATTTGCAAGTTTCCTTATAGAAGCAAAATGCCAGGATGGACTCAAAAGTAGTCCTAACTCATATTCCTACAAACCGGTGATTTATTCAAATGCTTTAATCTATTCTATAATGCTAGTTAATATGTGTAAAATATATTAAAATAAATAATACATATAATAAACCTTATCTCAACTTACACTCATGACCATCAACAAAGTATATTTTTGTCACCCTGAATTAGAATGTGCTTACATAAAAGCATTGTCCATAGAATAAGAAACAAAGATACTTTCTCAGATTTTTGAAGTTGAAAAACTGATTGACAGACAAATTCTTCTGGTAACTGGTTTTCATTTGCCCAGACTAGAAGCATAGAACTGACAGTGAAGAGGAAAGACACAGTGGGATTGATGCCTTGCTATTATTGCTTACTTAGATAAACCTGCTCAACACAAACTGGGAAATTCAGGGATGTTACATGAACCAAATATGAAGGTCACTGTGTTCACAGCAGACTAGAGACTGAACATGTGATACGAGGACGGTGGGAAAGATGGAGTCATCCTGGAGTCATCCTGAGATAGCTCTCTGTTTATGAGGCCCTAGAATAGATCTCTCCTTCCCAAATAATCAAGCAGAACAGGGTTTCGGAAAAAAAAAAAAAAAACTCAATATGGTTACTAGTTGGCAACCCAAAGGCATGAACTGCCTATCATGTGTCTAATGCCACTTTTAATAATTCTGTTCACATTCATTTTTAAAGAAAAGGAGATGTTAAAAGAAAATTTTAAACAGAAAGCAAATGATAAAAGGATACCAATAAGAAAACTTTGAATTATTCATAATTTAGTCACAGGGCTCAATAATTTCACTATGCAGTTTTGAACCGCAACTACCAAGGAAAGGCACAGCCTGAAAACCACTTGCATCAAACAATCAAAGAGGCAGTTAACAAACAAGCTCTGCACAAACACGTTGCCTTTCAACTATTAGTGGATATTTTTATTCTAATAAAGATACTAAGAAATTTACCAGTGAATTACAACTATGACAAATGAGGTCTTTGTAGCAATGAAATCATTACTCCCTCAGTTACAGCTATCCACACAGCTCCAAAACTTCATGAAGTCTTTCATAGGAGTCAGGTTATGCATTTTCCATTCCCAAAACAAACAAAAAAAAAAATGAGCAACTCTTTGCCCAAACACAGACATAGACAATAATCATTGGAAAATTCAAGAGACCAAAGCCCTACCTTTCCTACATAGAGCGGGTCTGAGCCCATGTATTCCTCCAGGACAAAGAACTGATTCCACACCCAGCTGCGCTTGGTACGGGACCTCCCAGATTGGAAATAGGGCTTTGATCCGGACCTTGAGAGTTCTGCTTGATTCATTCCAGAAAAACACAGGAAAAGTGCTATTAACTGCAGAAAATGGCAGAACTCCACTTTGCCCAACTTCATCTTTTTTTTTTTTTCTTCTTTTTCCTGTGTAAGAAGAAAACCTTGACAAGAGAAAAGGCACAGTTCCAGTTGGCTTAGCAGCTCTTGCCTCCGGCAGGGTGTCAGCTGAAAGTCCAGAGATAACAATTTGTAGAGTGTTGGGTTGGAAGAGGTCACCACCGCTGAATAATCTTCGCCAAATGATGGTGTAATAGATACCTGTCAGAACAGAAAGATGTGACACTATCAAAAACCAAGAACACAGAATCATATTTAGCTCTCAGTTCTCAATGTATTATTACTATTAGTATCACGATTGAAATATTAATCATACACTTGGAAAATCACAATATCTTTTGCCATATTTGTAGATTATTCTAACACAGCTGAGGAAGCGTTTTTCTCTTTCCATAACACAACTTTAAATTTCCATACTTCTTCAAGGGCATTTTATGTGAGCATATGGTTTATTTTATAATATGTGGCAGCATCATTTCAAAATCGCTTTAATTTTAGCTTTTATATTTTTTCCTTGTATAATCCAGTCAGTTACATTCATCAGTATTAGCTTGAGATAGCAAAGCCGCTCATAGCAAGGATTTAACCAAATGGGAAGGACATATGCTGGTTTAAATCTCGTCAGTGAAACTGTAAAACGAAATAAAGAACTATGAGGTGATTCAAACCCGGTTGATTGATTCTGAGTCACTGAACAGCAGCTGTTGGGATGTGTTCCGATTTGTCTGAGATCAGCTGAAAAGCTCAGGAGTTTCTATTTTCCACCCTCAAGCTTATTGTCACATACGTTGTGCTGCATGTTAGATTTTATTCTTTCACTATGGGTCTCTGCTACTGTACAAATATCTGTTCAATGTCATAGAGCATGGTTTGTGCATAGAAGGGAGTTGGGTTCTGAGATGGGCAGAAGGGCGAGACAACGCTATGTGTGAGCCCCATCGATGGCTGGCCTTTGCCCAAGAGGCACTCCAGTGGCTGTAAGGAAAAAAAAAGAGCTTTTATTCTAATGTCTATTTATTTCAGCTACGTAATTCTTATTATACAAGAGTTATAAAATCATTTGCAAAACAAACTTCCAAACACACCCTCAAAACAGTGCAGAGACAATTTATGACACAACGCTCAGGTAAATCACGTTGGCTTTGGAATTCATTTGACTTTGTATAAATAAATCAACAGCAGGATGATTAAGGCAAAAGATTATCATTGACTGTTTTTTCTTTTGAGGGAGAGGAGAAAAATACATTATTAGAAACATGAAAACAAGCAGTGTTTATAAAGCCAAAAAATACATAATTCTTGAAAGCTTTTCTAGCTCTCTGTGTTTCCTATAATAGGAGCCCTTTTTACTCAACAGACAAGTATTTCTGAAAGTCAAATTGCTTGAGAAAAAGTTTTCGTATTTCACAGAAAAAAAGTAAAATGCATTTATAACAATTTATCGAAAACTTTAAATAGTCCCAACAACTGGAAGGAATGAGTTGACTTTGAACCCAATTGAAATGATCACAAGGGAGCAGGGTGTTAGCACAGCAGTTAGGATGATTGGCTCTGAATGTACCACTGCTGGTGTCATCACTGAAATGTCAGTTACACGCTTGGGAAATGACAACAAGTGCCGCCTTCTTCATGAATCCCACAAACACCGCTGATGCAGTGTTACTCTTTCCATAACACAACCTTAAAATTCCATAATTCTTCAAGGGCATTTTATGAGAGCATATGGCCCATTTTACAACATGTTACAGCATCATTTCCAAATCACTCTAATTTTAGCCTTGTCATGTTCCCATGCCATATTTGAGTGAGTGAGTTTGAGCCTCCGCTCCACTTTCAATTCCAGCTTCCTGCTACTGCACATCCTGGGAGACAGCAGATGATGGCTCAAGTTCCTAGTCCCCTACCTTTCAAGTGGCAAACCTGAACTGAGTTCTGAGCCCCTCTCTTTGGTCTCGTTCAACACAGCAGATGGAGGATAACACCCCCTCCTCATGCACTGCTTCTCAACTAAAGAAATACAATGTCAACTAAAAAATAAAAAAAGAAACAAAAAGTGAAAGTGAACACATGAATTTTACAAGTATCTTTATAACTTCTGATGTCACAGTGCACATTTTTCACAGATCGGAAGTTCAACCAATTCATGCCAAGCAGCACTGGAAGCAGAAAGTTATTGGAGCAGATCCCCTAACTGTAAATTAAGCATAATATTCCAAAAATCCAGATACCTTATGTGAGGAGCGCAAATGAACTTCCTTTTGTAAGAAACCATGCTGGAGAGATAGTGAGTTGTGTCATGCCTTGAAACTCTAAACAAGGCTACTTGGTTAGTCTGAAAATTCACCGCAACATGGTCTGATCAATCCCCTAGCAGGCAGGTTTCTCGAACTTAAAGGACACAATTATGATCTTGAAGAATCAAGTAGTTCACTTGTCTAGAAATTGGCCCAAAGATGAGTTAGGAATACTGAACAGGGTACTTCCGTCAGGAAACCTGTCACCATTCTGAAGGGGAGGTTCAAGTGGCTTCTTAAACTGGACCAAGGTTATTATTGTGGAAAGAGACACTGAGAGCTGGAGTCATGGGCCAGAGACTAGCTTGTGAAACTCAGAGCTCAAAATAGTGCCACTTTCCCGACACCTCTCTCTCGAGCAGGCATGCTCTGTTTGATAAAGATTTTAACATGACATAGTGATCTTATGTTACTCAGGCAGCCTGCCTCATGGGTTAAGAGAACTCCATAATGTTTCAGTGTGAAAAGGTATCCAACCTATTAAAGAAATAACTACCATACATATTTTTGGAAGTAAAACTTGGGAAATCAGTAGAATTGCATAGTAACAAAGAGCATCGGTGCCTGCATGAGACAAAGATCCAAATTCTGGGTCTGTCAGAGTTTATCATTGTGGCACAACAGATCCATCATCTATCTCAAATGCCAACATCCACACAGCTGTTCCACTTCCGATCTGCTCCCTGTTCATGTGCCTGGTGAAACAGCGGGAGATGGCCCATGCACTTGGACTCCAGCTACCCACATGGGAGACCCAGTGGGAGTTCCCAAACCCTGGATTTGGCCTGTTCCAATTAGACCATCACAGCCTTTTGGGGAACAAAATGTTTAGTTCCTGAGATGAAGATTCAAGCACCTCATTTATAAACCAAAATAATATTGTCATCAGTAAACCATGAAATGCTAAGAATAGTGACTGACACATGTAAAAGCAACAAAAAGTAGATGTTTGAATTACTGTGAAATATGCGTGTTTTTTACACTGATTATATTAACGTTAGCTTGCAAAATGATGTTAGTCTTAATTATTATTTTAACCATGAAAAAATGAGAACATGTTTGACAAATCTAATTAGGCTAAGAGACCTGCATGGTCAAAAAGTCTACTTAAATGTGAAAAAGGCACAAAAAATATTTTTGAGAAATGAACATTTTTTTTTCTTCATCTCATGTCCTCTGTAATGGTTTAAAATTGATTATTGGGAAAATTATTTGACTTCACTCTGAACATTCACAAATGTGGAACAAGTAATGCAGAATCTGGACTAGGGACAAGTCCGATGAATTAAAATAAGCCAATATATGAATTATTCGGTAAACCTACAACATTTATGCATCACAATCACTTTGCAAAGTTTCTGTAGTGCTTGAAACAATTACCAGATTCCTTTTCCACGCTGCCTTTATTTTGCTGCAAAGTCTACCTGAGTGTTCAAGGGTTCTTTGTGTGCTTTAATGAAGAATGAAATCCTTTTACAAAGCAGATACCATCAGCAGAGTGCATTTACAAAATCAAGGGTCTGAACAATTGTGCTTGGATGTGTGTTTCATAATGTGTTTTCTTACTGTTCTAATAGTTATCCAGCCTGACACGAAAACATGTCCCACGCAACGGGAGAAAGAATCCAATCACTAATCAAGGGGGCCGTTTCCTCCCTAGTCCTCACTACATGCTGCGCTCTTGTCCATCAGATCTGACAGTCTTTGAAGGATAAGGCATTAGAGCAGTTCAACCCTAGTCTTCAAGCTGGATTATCTTGGAAAAAGTTTAACAGAACAGAATACCTATTTAAAGTCTTTAATTCCTTATCAGTGGTTATCAAACAGAAATAACCAAAGCTCGAACTATGTTCTCACTAATACTAGCATGCAAAAAAAATCTTAATTATATTTATTAAATCTAAATGAACTTCTGACCAAGATGAATCATTGTGGGTTAAACACTGCCTTGCAAATACGAATTCCAAAACACAAAACCTACCTTGCTCTCCAGACATCTGCATTATTTATATTTTCCCTTCCTCCTGCCTTCTGTCTTGAGTTCATTTCCAGCAATTAAGACCAGGAACCACATCACAAACCAACCCTGGCCTCAGGACCCATGTTGTATAGCTTCCAGTCTCCCCTGGCAGCTTAGGGCACTGATCTACTGCAGGCTGATGCCTGATCTCTTCACCACCATTAGTGGAGAAATGAAAACGACCTGTAGACATACAGCTGATGTAATTTCGACTTATCTGTGCCAACTTTTGGATAGTGACAAAAGAAGAACTCTGATGAGAAATGCAGGAGGAAGCTCCAACCTGAAGTGAAATAGAGCAGTCAACTGTTCATATTTGTAACAATTTTGGAGACAACCGCTAGACTAATGATTAATCTGAAATAAAACAATCTGAGAACGATTTTAGAAGTTTTAGTTTCTTGTGATATTTTAAGAAGAAGTCTCTATTTTTAAAACATTATACAACATTTTCAGGTTTTTTTCCAAACTGAAAAATAGATGAAAATCAGCAGAAGGAGTTCAGCACAACACACATCAATCAATCAGACAAAACAGAATCTTGAGAAGGAAATTTTAGATGAATTGGAACAAAAATTAAAAAAAAAAAATAAAAGTGGTGAAAATCAGCCAGACTGTATTTGTTAAGTCAATATCATTTATTTGACCTGAAATAATTTTATCACGCTTCTGTTCTGCTCCAATTCTTTTTGTTAAGCTAAGTGGCAAAGTAATTTTTCCAAGTAGATTATTATTCATTTAACCATAATAGCTAATATTGATTTAACCAGAACAAATTCATCATTATAAAATTTTCTTGAATTTTCCACTTCACTTGGAAACTGTATGAACACACTTTTAAAATCAGACGGAGTATTGTGTTCTTAATCAAATGTTTTGCT